TCTGAGCTAGCCCTCCCCGCCGCTCCTGTGGGCGCGCATCCTGTCTGGCCGCCCTTTCCCTCGCCCTGCTCGCGTTTCTTGCGGGCCTGGCCGTGCGCGCGCCTGGCCCCTCCCGCGCGGTGCGCTGATTGCCCGATGTGTTGCCGAAAACCAGGCGGACCTCCTTCTGAACCGCTGACGCTCCTTGGCGGCGCGGTTGAAGCTCTCCTGCCCCCTCGCCCTGCAACTCCCATGCCCGACGTGTCGAGCAACTGGCCCAGCTCGAACATCACGCCCATATCCGCGTCGTTCCCCAGAAACTGACTGAAGTTGCTCGCCGCCGCAGTTCGCGAGGCCTCCATGCCCGCGGCACTCTGTCGCAAGCCTCATTCCTTGTTGGATCGTTACAGGGCGGCCGCCGCCCCACTCTGGCAGATGGCCGCTACGCCGTCGCCTCCTCGAACGCATTGCGGCTGCACCGCTCAGCACCCAAGCGCCCCTGGCACGCCGCCGACGGGAACTCCGCGACCTTGGGATGGGGTGGCGTTAGCCTCTCACGGAGGACACCGAAGGCAGACTGCCCATCGCCCTCCAGGCCGGCCTTGTCGAGCAACGCGGGCGCCATCGCCACTGGGTCGTCCTGGGCATCCCCGCCATCATCGCGCGCGCCACCTCGTAATTTGCGGCGGCGCCACGGCTGGCGGACCCATTTCGGCGCGTCGTACCCCATCTCGCTCTTCTTTTGGCTGGGCTCCGCCGGCGCCCCGTTGGGCTAGCGCCAAGGCGCAGGAATCACCCCGAGGTTCGAACCGCGCTGAACGCAGAAGGAGTTCCGCTTGAAGTTCCGAACGTAGCCACAGTCCGAGCACTTGGGCAATTCTGGCGGAGCGCTGGCCCGCCTCCATCCGCATGCCCACGCATCATAAAACGCTGAGTCTATGTATATGTGTATATATGTATGTATATGTATATACATATATATATATATACACATATATATATATATATATATATATATGTATATATACATACGCGCTCCCCGATCTAACGGGCGCACAATTCTGAACGGGCGCACAATTCTGCCTGAGCTGACCAGGCAAGCGCGGCAGGATGTCGGGTACCAAGCTCTGACGCTGCCGCGGATCAGCGGTATCTACTCGGCCCCCATGTGGACCTCAAGCATTTGAACCCAAATAGTTACAGGGAGGAGGAGGAGGCGGAGGAGGATGAGGATGAGGATGAGGATGAGGATGAGGATGAGGAGGGGGAGGAGGAGGAGGAGGAGGAGGAGGAGGAGGAGGAGGAGGAGGAGGAGGAGGAGGAGGACCAGCGCAAACCCAAGAAGCATCAACGCTGCTGCAGCACCCGCCCCCCACCCAAGGCCTTTTTTTTTCATAGGTCCATACCAAGACTTCTTGCAATTGCGGGGGCTGCTGTATTGGAAGACAACCGCCGGGGAATCCTCAATCGCGCCAAAACACCATTCCTGGGACTTCAACACCGCGAATAAACGTTACTGCTGCGTTCCAGCAATTCGAAAAAAAGTGTTCTACCGCTGCTGGCGGAAAACCGGGGGGGGTCACTACCGGTTCGAACCCCTCCCCCCCCCTTCCCTCCGGAAAACCGCGGGGGGGTCACTACTGGTTCGAACCCCTCCCCCCCACAATCCATCATGAAAAAGGGGGGGGGGTCACTACCGGTTTGACCCCCCCCCCTCGAAAACTGGGGGGGTCACTACGAGAGGGAGTGCGGACAGTGGTGGGGACGGTGGTGGTGGGGACAATGGTGAGGGGACAGCGGGACAGTGGTGAGGACAGTGGGACGGTGGTGGGGACGGTAGTGGTGGGGACAGTGGTGAGGACAATGGTGGGAACGGTGGACAGTGGTGGGGACGGTGGTGGTGGGGACAGTGGTGTGGGGACAGTGGTAATGTGGTGGAAACAATGGGACAGTGGAGGGTACAGTGGTGGTGGGGACAGTGGTGAAGGCGGTGGCGAGGACGGCATAGGACGGCGGTGGGACAATGGGACAGAGGTACAGGGGGTACAGAGGTGGGGACAGTGGTAGCAGTGGTGCGAACAGTGGGACAGCTCACTGTGACAGCGGAGGAGTCAGTGGGACGGTGGTTGGGGCCGTGGAGAAAGTGGGGAGAGTGGAGCCGTGGTGGGAACAGTGGTGGGGACAGTGGGGACAGTGCGACAGTGGTGGGGGCACTGGTGGGGACAGTAGGGACGGTGGTGGAACCAGTGGGGACAGTGGTGGTGAGGACAGTGGTGCTGGGAACAACAGTGGGGGATGTGGTGCGGACGGTGGTAGGGACCGGGAGTCGTTTGCTGGCGGTGAGGGGGGTGGGGTGGGGAGGGGTTCGAACCGGTAGTGACCCCCCTTCGGTTTTCGAGGGGGGGGGGGGCGGGGGGTTCGAACCGGTAGTGACCCCCCCGGTTTTCGACGGGGAGGAGGGGGGAGGGGTAGGGGTTAGGGGAGGGGGGGGGTTTGCCGGGAGAGGGGGGGGGGAGGGGGGGGGTTCCAGCAGGGGGGGGGGGATTTTCAGATGGGGCGGGGGGACCTCCGGGCTTCGGAGGAAGAGGGGGGGAATTTTCCACAGTAAAGCGGCGGTGGATCACGCTCTCTCAGCAATCCGAAACCGTGCCAGAACATGATTCCTGGGAATTCAACCGCACGAGCCCGTGAAACTGCTGCAACATGTCAAAACGTATGTGCGCGGCTATAATGCGAGAGCCGCACTTTACAAACGACCCGTCCTGCACCCGTGAAGCTGCTGCAAACTGTTGAAACGAATGCGCGTGGCGTTGAAACGAAAACAACATGTTGAAAACGGCCCGCGACCCATCCGTTAAGCTGCTGCGAACTTTTATAACGAATGTGCGCGGCGCTCATGCGAATTATGGACAACCATCCTCCATCCGTGAAGTTGTCGTCAACTATTGAGGCGAATGTGCGCGGCGCTGAAGAGAGGGCTACATTTCATACGTAAACGACCCGCCATTCACCAACGAAGCCGTCGCAAACTTTCAAGGCGAACGTGCGCGGCGCTGAGGCGAAAACCGCAGTTTGGAAACGGCCCGCCCTCCATCCGTGCAGGTGTTGAACATTTCGAGCGTCAGGGTCGTAAACGGCGAAATTTGAAGAAATCTCAAACGAAATGCCCGGCCTGCCCTACCGACACGTATGGGAGTGCGACAGTGAGGCGCCGTTGATAAGGAAATGGGGACGGATGAAGCGGAGGAGGAGGAGAAGGAAGAGGAAGAGGAGGAAGAGGAGGAAGAGGGGAAAGAAGGGGAGGGGACACATCGTAAACAAATTTTTCATCCCACGCAGATCCTGGCTAAGCTAGGCTGGAGAGCATATGCACCGATCCCGGGCCTATGAGCAGCCTGGCCAGGCTCGGTGTGGGTGGACAAATCGCCTCCGAAAGAAGGGGGCGAAGACGGCGCGACATGTCTCAGTACCTGCCAGACAGACCGGACCCAGCATGCGACTTGGTGGGTTCGAGGCTCCCCTGGAAACGTATAAAAAACCAGGCCCACCCAAAGAAATCTGGCCCCACAGGGATTCCTTTGGAGAACGATAGGCGCGTGGGATGCAGGGGGTGAATTCCCTCCTACCCCATCTGCCCTCCTCCTCCTCCTCCTTCTCCTAACGCCGGCGTTGTGGGTATGAATGCTCCCACGTTGCCGTGCCCCCCCCCCCAGGGCGGTCTCCCCCGAGGGAGGGTGATCAAATTAGTGGAGCTGTGCGAGAAGAGGAAGAGGCCACGTAAAGTGCACTGGGCTCCCCAGGGGGCGGAGTGGCTAGGTGCTTCGCCACCTCTCGGGAGAGGAGGGAGGAGGGGAGCGACGAAACAACGACGACGGAGGAAAGGTACGGTTAACGAGCGAGGAGGGGGGGGAAAGGAGCAGATAGAAACAGCAGCGCCGCAAGTGGCTCTTGAGAACTGGGTGGCAGGAGGGCGGCGCGTGGCGGCACTTTGGGAGGCTGCCAGCAAGGAGCGGACAGGGGGTCAAGGTCGATTGGGTGGGGCCGTGCCGGCGGGGCGGCCTGGCAGAGGTGCCAGTTGGCAGGCGGAGTGGCGGGCTGCGGGCTGCGGGCGCGGCCGCCCCAGGGGCCAACGCCACGGGCGCAAGGCCCCCTTCCCACCCCTGCCCCCGCCCCAGTACCCACTCCCTCCTCGAGGCAGGCCGTGGCGGTCACATCAATAGCTGGTGGCGACACTGTGGGGAGGCGGCTGGCACAAAAACGGGCCGAGGCGAGGCGGGGGGGGGGGGGCTTGGCGTCTGGCGGAGTGGCGGCCTGGCGCAGGTGCTGACTGGCGGGCGAAACGGCGGGCTGCGAGCTCGGAGGCGCGCCCACCCTGGCCATCGCACCGAGGACACGCGTGGTGGCAGTGTCCCTCGCCCACCCAACAGCGACCCATCCCCAAAAAATCTCCTCCTCCTCCTCCTCGTCATTCGTCCTGATCCGGGCTCGAGCTAAACCGTGCTTTTCGTGTTCGTTTTGGTGTCGTTTACCCCCGTTCTGTCTTCGTTCCGCCTTCGGTGCAAAACGATATCAAAACGAAAACGGTCCAAGAAGTCGCCAAAACACCGTTTAGCTCGAGCCGTGGTTCTGATCGCACACCCCCACACTCCTCCGCCCCCCTTTCCTACCCCTCCGCTCTCTTCCTCCGCCCTCCGCCTTCGTCCCCCCTTCCCCGCCCTCCTCCCTCCTTCCAAGTCAATCCCCTTCTTCCTGCTCCGAAGGTCCTCTTCCTCCGACGAAGATAACGTCAACGTGACGGCGACACCGATGCCGGCGGAAAAGTCAAAGACGATAACGACGAAGACCGTGTTGACGAAGCTGATGCCGTCGCCGACGCCAACGCCGACGACGACGAAGGCAGCGGCGGCGGCGACGACGACGACGACGACGCTAACGAAGACGACTGCGACGACGGAGCCCACGACGACGACGGCGACGACGCCGGCAACCACGACAGCAGCCGACGCCGACGTCCCAGCGGCCTTCGCCAGCGCTGGCAGCGCCCTGGCCGCGATGGCCGCGCCCGCCGCGGCGTGGCCGGCGCCGCCCGGCAAACCCAGAAGGGTCCCGAGGAGCGTCAGCGCCGGCACCGCCAGCGGGTTGCGGGCGTCGCCTGCTCGGGCCGTCGCCTTCACCGCCGCAGCCGCCGTTGTGGTGGTCGCTGCCGCCGTGGTCGTGATCGTGGTCGTGTTCGTGGTTTGACTACCTACCAATAGAGGCCTCCTAGCTGGGGTCGGAGTAGATGGGTTCGGAGGATCGCGCCGCATCGCCGATGCATCCGCGATGCATCGCCGATGCACAGGCGATGCACCGGCAGCGTCGGCGATGCATCGGCGCCGTCGGCGTGGAGAAATCGGGCTCCGCATCGGGCCGCATCTCCGATGCATCGACGATGCGGCGCAATCCTCCGACCCAATCTGCTCGGACCCTATCTGAGCGGCCTAGAACCAAACCACCCCAACCCAACCCGAAGCCACCGTTGGGATCGTCAATTTCCGGTGGGGGGGCACTCCAGAACAGTTTGAGGAAACACGTGGAACCCGCACACACCCCAAGCCGAAATTTGGAGGGATCTGGGACCTTTGGGTTGGGCTGGGGTGGCTTCGTACCCAAACCCCAGACGTCGTGATTGTTTCAAAACGTCGGCCCCAGAGGTCTGGACCCCTTCCCCGGGACCGGTTTTTCATCCTGGGTCTTTTTTTGACGGTCCCGAGGCCCAATAAGGGCCCCCAAAGACCGAAGATAGCGGAAAACCTCCCGTCGTGATTTTTTCACAGCGCGAGGGGGTCTGGGCAAGTAGTGATGGTCGTGGTCGTGGTCGTGGTCGACGTCGTCACCGTCAGGTCTGTGGGCTTCGTTCTGCCCTTCTGAGCCGCAAGGGGGGCTCACTGCCGCCTGAGGCGGGCCCACGCCACAAGACCCCAGGCGGGATGCAGCCTGGAGAGGCCTCCAGAACTCCGACGTCGAACTCTTCGTGCAGCGTCGACCCCCAGAGGCACACGTCGGTCGGAAGAAGTGGGTAAAAGCATGAGGTAGGGAGGCGGATCAAGTAGATTGGGCTCAGGCCCTCCCAAATAATGAAACGCAGCGAAAGCTGATCCATTCTTGAAATACGAAGGCGCTTGAAGTAGATGTTTCGGATTCCAAAAATGACAACTTTCAACGATCAGCGTGTATGGACCCCTTCCCCAGACTGGTTTTGTCATCCTGGGCTGTCCCTTGGCAATTCTGCGGTTTTCGGCCTCTGGGGGGCCCTCACCTGGCCTCGGGACCATCAGAAGACGACCTCGACTGAAAAACCGACCCTGGGGAGAGGGCTGGGACCTCTGGGGACCCCGTGCTGACGTGCTCTCGCCGCGACCCCCTGTCAGGGGAAGGCTTCCCGTTGCATGTGCGGCTTGCTTGGCACATTGCTTGGCATTTCTTGGTGCTGCGTGGCATTGCTTGGCACTGCGTGGCGAGGCAGCAGGGAACCAAGACCAAGGAACGACGGAGACAAAACTAAGGAACCAAGGAACCGGGGAAGCAAGGACCCCAAACCAAGGAACACATGCCAAGGAACCGAGGAACCAGGGAGCCAAGGAACAAGGACCAAGTAACCAGGACCAAGTAACCAAGGAACCAAGACCAAGGAACCAAACAACCAAAAAGCCAAGGAACCAAGACCCGGTCACCAAGAAACCAAGACCAGGGAACCACGGAAGCAAGACCGAAGAACCCGAGGAGGGCAGCAAGGAGCCAAGTGACCAAGGAACCGAGGAACCAAGACTTGCCAGGGAACCTGGGGAACGCCGCCGCCAGGGCACAAGACCGCCGAACATCCCAGGGGGAACCCCGACTGCGGGGAAACAGGACCACTAGAACCCTGCGGAGCCCCCGGCGACGACCCTTCAAAATCACACGCATACATATATACATATAGAGAGATATAGAACAACAAATTACCCTGCGACGTACCCAACCCACGTGCATCAAAAGGCAAGAGGAGTATGCCAACATTAGCAGGAACAACGACAGTGTAGACGCGGCGATTTGCTGTGCAAGCTACATGGGATGCGCGTGCGTTGCACGATTCACAGGACGACGATCGAAAGAACGAGGCTTGAGGCCCCAGGATCGAAGAAGAACGGGTACGGGAACGAGGGGTAGGAGAGGGATGGAATGGAGGGCGGGGGGGGCGAAAGGCCATCGCGGAAGCAGCAGCATGCATGGAGAAGGTGAGGCGGGGAATAGGACGACGATGAAAGTGGCGGGAGGAGACAGAAGACTGCCGCGTTTTTCAAGTGCGAGCTAAACCCGCAGCGCTGCCTGCGCCATGTCGTCGCAGAGTTCCACATGATAAAACTTGTTTAGAGTGCAAGGAACGAGCGAGGCGTAGCTCGCCCGCTAGCTTCTCCGCCTCCTTCCCGCACATTTCAGCGCGGGAGCTGAACGCTCGCAGGCGCGCCGCCAGGTCTGCGGGCGGCCCGCGGGAAAGAAACTCAAGGCCGGGGTCGCGTATCATCAATCGGTTGTCCATCGTCCAAAGTTGCACTGGCGACGTACTGGTTGAACGCGGAGCGAGCAGCATCACGCGCGTGCCTGAACGCCACGCAGGTACAGTGCACGCGCGATTGGGACTTCAGGTCGATCACGCGCGTCTCCACCAGGCTTGGCAACACCACGCGACTGAGGATCTCACTGCGGTCTGCCATGCTGCTGTCCGCGAATGCAATGCGCTGCCTGCAAGTAAGGCGGCGGCGTCCACTTGTCTCAGAAGATGTTCCCGCGGGCCCGAAGGGCGACCGCCAGCTCGAGCCGCGGCGCCGGCAGGCCAGATAAGGATCATGCAACAGCAAAGACGATGACAGAGCAACGAGGTATCGGCGAGTGCATGACCGGCCTCCGTTTCCTGCACTTCTTTCCTGTAGTTCCCCTAGCTCATCGAGCTCAGCAGATGTTTCTGCGGGTCCGAAGGACGACCGCCAGCTCGAGTCGCAGCGCCGACGAGCTGCATCCACATCAGGCAACACCCCAAGAGACACTGGCACACAACGATTTGACGTCAGTCAGTGCCAGACCACTCCATGTCTAGTTCCTCGCACACATACAGTCGATCGCAGATGCGGGATAATCGAAGTAGAATGACGGGTCCAATCTGCGTCCGCGTAGGACGTCACTATGCTGGACCCCGCAGCAGGTCTCGAAAGTGGCGACAGTTTCATGGGCCCCACAGCAGCCCTCGAAAGTGGCGACAGTTTCACAGATCGTAGCCCCCCAGCGCTGGCGAGGTCTAATCTGAGTCCCCGTAGGACGTCACTCCGCTGGCCCCCCAGCAGCCTTCGAAAGTGGCGACAGTTTCACAGATCGCAGCCCCCCAGGGATGGCGAGGTCTAATCTGTATCCCCGTAGGGCGTCACTCCGCTGGGCCCCCCACGCAGCCTTCGAAAGTGGCGACAGTTTCACAGATCGCAGCCCCCCAGGGATGGCGAGGTCTAATCTGAATCCCCGTAGGGCGTCACTCCGCTGGGCCCCCCAGCAGCCTTCGAAAGTGGCGACAGTTTCACAGATCGCAGCCCCCCAGGAATGGCGAGGTCTAATCTGAATCCCCGTAGGGCGTCACTCCGCTGGGCCCCCCAGCAGCCCTCGAAAGTGGCGACAGTTTCACAGATCGCAGCCCCCCAGGGATGGCGAGGTCTAATCTGAATCCCCGTAGGGCGTCACTCCGCTGGGCCCCCCAGCATCCCTCGAAAGTGGCGACAGTTTCACAGATCGCAGCCCCCCAGGGATGGCGAGGTCTAATCTGAATCCCCGTAGGGCGTCACTCCGCTGGGCCCCCCAGCAGCCTCGAAAGTGGCGACAGTTTCACAGATCGCAGCCCCCCAGGGATGGCGAGGTCTAATCTGAATCCCCGTAGGGCGTCACTCCGCTGGGCCCCCCAGCAGCCTCGAAAGTGGCGACAGTTTCACAGATCGCAGCCCCCCAGGGATGGCGAGGTCTAATCTGATCCCCGTAGGGCGTCACTCCGCTGGCCACCCCAGCAGCCCTCGAAAGTGGCGACAGTTTCGCAGATCGCAGCCCCCCAGAGATGGCGAGGTCTAATCTAAGTCCCACCAGCCCTCTGGGCGTAGGTGGTCTAGAGCAGATCCTCTTCCACCCCTCCCTCTTCCCCCTTGGGGAGGGGTTTACCCCTCCCCCTACCCCCTCCCCTGGACCTGGACGGGGGGGGCCGCGGGTAGTTAGAGCGTCCCAGATGGCCCAAGACGGCTCCAAGAGCGCCTCAGAGAACCCAAGATGAGCTCCAAGATGGCTCAAGATAGCGCAAGATCGCTCGAGATGGCTCCTAAGATGGTTCCAAGAAGCCCAAAGACGGCCCCAAGATAACTCCAAGTGGCCAAACAGCTCCCCAAGGAGGCCCCGAAGAGGCCAAAATCGTCCCAAAACCTAAGGAAAATCAATGATTTTTGCTTTCTCGCCTTTTCGCTTCCGATGGCCATCCGAGGCCTGGAGATGGCTCCAAGATGGCCCAAGAGGGCCCCAAGAGAGCCCCAAAAGAGCCCCAAGACGGCCCCAAGAGCGCCCAAGAGCACTCCAAGAGCGTTCCAAGAGGGGTCCAAGAGGCGATTTTAGGGGCTTCCGAGGGGGGGACGCTAATTAAACCCCCCCTCTTGTTTGATCGACTCCCTCCAAGATGGCCCCAAAAGCGCCCCGAAGGCTCCCCAGAGCGCCTCAAGAGGGTCCCAAGAGGCGCCCAAGATGCCCCAAGGCGCCCAAAAAGCCCTCCAAGAGGCCCTCAAAAGACCCCCAAGAAGCTCCTTCCCCTCCTCCTCCTCCTCCTCCGATTCTTCCTCCTTCTCCGTCCTCCTCCTCCTCCTCCTCCTCCTCCTCTTCCCCCTCCTCCTCCTCCTCCTCCGACGACGACGACGACGACGACGACGACTCCTCTTCCATCCTCCCCCTCTCGGGGTCTGTGACAGCTTCCCCCCCCCTTTGTTATTCTGCATGCTCCCCGACTTCCCTGATCACCTCAACTCCCCTGAGCATCGTTTCTGGATGGGCTGGTGGGGATACGCGAAGCGTCAACAATTCCCGTGGGGCGTCACTCCGCTGGCCACCCCAGCAGCCTTCGAAAGTGGCGACAGTTTCACAGATCGCAGCCCCCCAGGGATGGCGAGGTCTAATCTGAGTCCCCGTAGGGCGTCACTCCGCTGGCCACCCCAGCAGCCCTCGAAAGTGGCGACAGTTTCACAGATCGCAGCCCCCCAGGGATGGCGAGGTCTAATCTGAGTCCCCGTAGGGCGTCACTCCGCTGGCCACCCCAGCAGCCCTCGAAAGCGGCGACAGTTTCGCAGATCGCAGCCCCCCAGGGATGGCGAGGTCTAATCTGAGTCCCCGTAGGGCGTCACTCCGCTGGCCACCCCAGCAGCCCTCGAAAGTGGCGACAGTTTCACAGATCGCAGCCCCCCAGGGATGGCGAGGTCTAATCTGAGTCCCCGTGGGGCGTCACTCCGCTGGCCACCCCAGCAGCCCTCGAAAGTGACGACAGTCTCGCAGATCGCCGCCCCCCAGGGATGGCGAGGGGCAAGCTAGGTAAAAGGCAAGCGAGAAGAGGACGAGCAAAGAGAGGAGGAGAAGGGAAGCAAGAGAGGAGAGCAGGAACGCAGAGAGGAGGAGAGGGGGCGGGAGGAGGAAGGTGGCGACCACAGTGCTCTATTCAAAACGAGTACCCAACGCAGGAGGGTTGGGAAACAAAACCTTCCCAGACAAGCCGCATTGGGGAAACGCGCGCGAACATCGGAGGCCTGGGCCCCAAACCCCCGACGTCTTGATTTTTGTTCACAACGTCGATCCCCAGAGGCCTGGACCGCTTCCCCGGGACCGGTTTTCCGTCCCGAACCGTTTCTTCACGGTCCCGGGGCCCGGTTAAGGGCCCCCGGAGGCCGTAGCGAAACACCTCCCGTCGATTATTTTTGTTCCTTCACATCGCGAGGAGGTCTGGGTCTCTTGAGCCCCGACCCTGGCCTCTCGACCCCATCCAGGAGGCGATGCATCGGCGACGTCGTCGTGAAGCAGATCGGGCTCTGCATCGAGCCGCATCGCCGATGCATCGGCGATGCGGAACGATCCTCCGACCTCATCTACTCCGACCCCATCTGTCGGGCGTTGGTAGAACTGGGTTTAGTGGAACCTGGTTTAGTGATCTGTAACGGGGGCGCCCCCCCGTCCCATTTCCACGAACCGGAACTGCCGTCACCCGAAAAAACGCCGGTTACGGCAAACCTGGTTTAGTGAATCTGGCCCATGGAGGGGCCCCAAGGCCCTATACCACTAACCGGGTCCCCTTACCCGGGGTCCTGGCCATACCAGGGGTCCTGGCCATACCCGAATCTGAGGAGGAGGAGGAGGAGGAGGAGGAGGAGGAGGAGGAGGAGGAGGAGAGGAGGAGGAGGAGGAGGAGGAGGAGGAGGAGGGGAGGAGGAGGAGGAGGAGGGGGAGGAGGAGGAGGAGGGAGGAGGAAGAGGGAGATGAGGAGGAGGAGGAGGAGGAGGAGGAGGAGGAGGAGGAGGAGGAGGAGGAGGCCTGGACATCCTCAGGCCTCCACCCCAAAGGACCCCACCTCTGGGCCGCCGAGCTTCTTGTCAGGTGCACCCTGGCCAGAGCCCGGAGGTGGAGCCGGGCCGCGGCGGCGAGCAGGCTCCCCCTGGAGGCCCAGAGAGGAAGGCACAACAGACAGCATCCCAGAGCTCCAGGGCTCGAGACAGCTGGTTAACAAAAAAACCCTAGCCCTTTCGGAAGGGGACCCAAGCTGGGCGAAAACATCAGGGACATGGGGCTCTTTTCTGCAGATGTGTCGGACCAGGCCGCCCTGATTTGTTATCTCTACTGCACAGCCGGGGACCTCAGTCACGCCACGTCTTCACTGTGTTACTAGGGTTAAGGGGTTCTTTGATCCTCGATGAACAGTTGGCCGTCATCGAGAAGACCTCAGCGACAGTGAAGATATTCCTGGTCGCTTTCTGACGGCCCTGGGGCCCGAAGCGTGTCTCCCGATGACCAGGTGACCAGAACGTGAAACACACAACGGGCCGTCACGGCGATGACGGCAGCGATGACGGCAAAGGCGACGACGGCCACCACGACCCCGGCGGCGAAGAAGACGGCGGCGGCAGCGGCGACGGCGGCGACAACGACGGCGACGGCGAACAAAACATCGCCTGCGCGGCCAGCGCAGTCGACGACCTTGGCGATCACTGGGTGCGGGACTGGCGCCTCGCATCGGCACGGAAGGCGTCGTCGTGGTCTGGTCGAAATCGCCTTGGTCGTCGTGGTCGTGGTCGTGGTCTCGGTCGTCGTGGCCGTGGTGGTCGTGGTCATCGTCGTGGTCGTCGTCATCGTCGTGGTCGTCGTCGCCATCGTCGTCGTTGTCGCCATCCTTGTCGCCGTGGTCGTCGTCGTGAACGCCGTCGTAGCCATAACATAAGGAGGAGGATTAGGAAAGGAGAAGCAAGACGGACGAGGGGAGAACAGGGAATAATGAAGAGGGCAAGAGAAGAGGAAGAGAAGCGGACGAGGGGGTAGATGGAGGATGGGTGCGTGGAGGAGGGACGCTTGGAGATGAGGAGGGGGGCAGGAAAAAACATGTGGTTGGGGAGGAGGGAGCGGGCAGGAGGAGGAGGAGGAGGAGCCGAGGGAGCGACACGAGTTGGCAGCCAAAGGTGGAGAGCGACTGGCCTGCGGCGACTAGCGGCGCCGTGGCGGGACCCAGCCTCGCGGCGGCGACGCACGCGCTGGGCAGCCCCACTGCTCCCACTCCTCGACAGTCAGAGGCGACGGCACTGCGACTGTCGAGTCGTTGGCTGCGGCGCGGGGCGCTCTGCCTTCCCGCAGTCCTCGATGCCACATCAACTTCGCAGGGGCAGCACAGGCGGCCCGGAGCCCGCAGCCTGCAGCAACAGCCCCACGGTCCCGTGCGTCACAGTGCGTGGCCGTTACTGGTAGCGAGGTGGAGGCCGAAGACGACTGGGAGGCGCGTTGCCGCATGGCCCTGGCAGCGGGCGTCTGCCAAGGCCTAACCCCCAAGACGGCCCAAGAGGCCGCCAAGACGCCTCAACGGTCCTTCAAGAAGGCCCCCATGTGGCAAACATCTTCCCACTATCTAGGGGAAACGTGCAGTTTCAACAACGCCGTTCCCAACATATCGTTCATAACACCTGTCCTGCACCGTATAAGTTGCATCCTGTCAGTGCCACCACATCGCCCGCATTACATAATTTACACAACGTAGTTTCCACCGCATAACTTACACCGAACAACTTCCACGACGTAGCTCACGCCACGTGGGTGCCACGGCATAGCTCACATCATATATGTTTGCCTGAGTATCTTTCTCAGGTGGACTTTCACACCTCGCTGTTCGGCGTCTGCGATGGCTCAAGTTCTGGTTGGTTAAATGCCGTCTGGAGCCGCTGGAAGCCGCCTGGTTTCTGTAATCCTCGGAGGTTTTGGTACCACGTCGGTCTGCAAGGGCCGCTGCAACCCGGGGAGGGGGCCTCAAAAACAACTCCTGGGGTAAAAACCCGACCCCCCGGAAACAACTTTCCTCCACAACGGTCGGTTTGCGTTGCGTCGACGCGGCGGCGCCCCCGGCGCGGGCGCTCGGAATGAACACGGCCAGTGGTCAGGACTCGTCCGGCGTTGAACGGGAATGCGCGATCGTTCGCGGCTGAACGATCCAAGCGGTGTGAAAAATCGACGAGCAGGCCGTTACAACATCAGCTGGCGCAGGATCGCGCGAAGAAGGCACGCGATTTTTGTTCGACGTTCTTTCGGAGCCTCCTGGTGGCGTTCTCGCGCCACGTGATCGGGTCTGCCTCGAACTTCGACTCAAAACGCACCCCAAGATAAGTTCGGGTTGCGCGCGGATCTGTAAAGCGAGGGCAGGAGCAGATCGGAACGGGTGAAGGGACTGGACGGGAAGCGGCCAGAGCTCAAAGGCCAAAGAGGATGGCGCCAAGTGCCAACAGATGCCAGGCTTGAGGGGCCAAGGTGCATGGCGCGAAGCGCCAATACAGTCTTGTGTGTGTATATATATATATATATATAGCTAGAAATAGGAGTGGAACAGTGGACCCTTCCGCCCCCTCCACGCCGAAACCTGCCGCCCCAGGGCGCCCGTGCAGCACCTCCGACGGGCTGCGTGCGTCGCCGACGTGGTCGCGTCCGGTGGGGAGGCATCCCGCGGCTGGCGCGACTGCGCGCGGCCTGCGCCCGCGGGCGCGGGCGGACCGCCCCCTGGCGGCGCGCAGAGGGGCGCACATCCCTCGTCGAAATTGAACGCAAGTTTTAGCCGCGACCTGGCGGCGCCCCCCGACCCCCAATTTCAATGTTCATGCCGACGCCGGCGATTTCGAGATTTTCATCGGACCCCGCCGGCCGCGATGCGCCTGTCGATGAACATTGAAGTTTGGGGGCGACGGGGGTGGGAAAAACTTGCGTTCAATTTCGACGAGGGTTGTAGGGGGAGGGGGGAGGGCTTCTTCGAAGGGGGCTGCTCCTTAGAAGGCGCTGGCCTGACATCTGCAGAGGAGGCCCGCGCCTTCTGGGGAGCAGGGGTGCTTCCAAGGAGCCTTTCCCCCCTCCCCCATACCCCCCTCTGCGGGTGGCCGGCCACCCCTGGGCCGAGAAGGCGCCGAGTGCCCGTGGTCTCGGCCAGGGCACGCGGCAGGGAAGGGGGAATGGGCGCAAGAAACTGAATCCTTCCCATGAGTTCCGCCATCGTGCTACGGTAGAGGGAAACAATTAGTGAACACCCCCCCTGCCCACAAAACTCAAAGTTGGCACGCGGGGGGGAGACTGCGGTCGAGGTGCAACTCATCAGGCCCACCGCCAACTTTGAACATTGGGGGAAGGGGGAGGCGTTCACAGATGAATGTGGCATGAGTGTTCGCTAATTTTTCCGAGGCCTGTATGATGAGACAGGACTACAGCTTCGCTCTGGGGGGGCACACATCAGGAGAGATGCGATCGAGATAGTCGCGCCTGGCCGCAGAACTTCGAATTGCCCAAGGACCCCGGGCTGGGTCTGACTGGACAAGCCGCGGGCGTCACAATGCAATACATTCAGGGCGTGGCGGTATAGCAGTGCGTGTCAGGGATGGGCCGAGCCTCCAATTGTAACTCTCTCGGGGCTCGGGATAGCCTGTGAACCCTCTCGGGGCTCGGGATAGCCTTCTAACCATAACGCCAAGGGAATGGTAACCACGTGTTGCCAATGGGACAGTAACGCTTCCGAACCATACTCTTTAAATATACAACACGGCCCGCCACTTTCGAACAGGGTGTGGGCGGACGCGACGCGTGCAACAGCCAATGGAGGAGGATGGGGAGGATGGGGAGGACCAGGAGGAGACTCCCACATACCAGCAGCAGGGACACATCGGAAGCATCAAGCGAGCGCCACATAGACCCGCATACCACACGACTCCAAGACAATCAGACTACCAAAACCACAACAATCGACATCAACCACAAGGCGATGTGCACCAACAAATGTAATACAAACTTCACCACTACCACGCCGGCCAACCACTCCAAGACCGACACTCCCAACAGCTCCGACGAGACAGGATTACGTACCGCAGCCCGTCTTCGGGATCACAAGCCAACACGTAGCATGCACGATGGCGGCCAACCAAGCACTCAACAGCGACATGACTGAAGCATGCCACAACGATGTGCAGAACAAAGACAGACCAGGCCAAACGCCCATCGAGTTAGTTCTGGAACATGGCGAAGGCATACGAACTCAGAACCTTAGCCTTACAAATCACAGCAGTACAGGACGCAGGTCAGGAAACTACGCACCTACGGCACGCGATCGCCGTCATCATCAAGAGACAACTGTTGGATCAGAGGCCCATGGCGCAGAGACGAAGGAGCTCGTCAATGCCATGCAGTAAACCTCCAGCCCAGACCTTCGCACACGACGTACAACTCAGCGTCTACGCAGCCATCGACCAACCCACTCAAGACAGCAATTTCCAAGTCTCACCAACTACCAAAACAAATGAAACACACGCTATCTAGCGACTCACTGCACAACTACAATAAACACACGACTGCATCCAAAAACAACGACATACCAATAGCAGGACTACGGAGCAACATGGAGATGCGACTCAAGGCAACACAATATCATATGATTACATGAATACAAGCAACAGACAAAACGGGACACCGGCTACAACATCACTGGACCACCTTCCCACAGACTTCTGTGACGTACACGAGTACGACAAGACTATGCGATACGACTACCACATAGTACGAGCAAATCTCAGCAAAGCCGACCACAACAGCGAAACACAAGAAACGATAGTCAACAACCACGGACTCACACGTCAACTCGACAACAGACCACCAAAAGTACAAGAATCCACGACACCAAAACTTCACACTATAATGCACCTCCTAGACCTCAGCGCAACAAGCAACAACGCATCACCACGCCGCACCTACAAAAGGCACAACTATACAAGAAACACGGATTGTATCGCTACGACATGGAGTACGCGCAACTACATGACCAACACCGACATGCGGGGACAGCAAACGACCACAACCACATCGAGGACACACTCTGCGGAACTCCAGAACCAGCTCCGTACTGGTTGTGGTCGATGTGGCGTCCCAGGACGGCCAAATCGACCATAACCACAACCAAAGTTCTCATGTCGAGGTCGGTGGGTTCTTCCCGGAAAGACCCTCCCGAAAAATCTACTTAGTTGTGGTTGTGGCTCTATGATGCGCCTGGAAGACAGTACAATCTTCAAAGACAGAAGCAAGACGATTGCAGGCAGAGAGAAGACTACGAACCAGCAGTACATCACGCCAGGCAACGCACACGAGGACAGATGGAGATAGTAACCCAAGACGTACAGGGTCACTGCCAGCTACAGTAATAAGCGCAAACCGAAGAAGCTCGACCTTAGCAGCTAATGGCAGAACAGAAGATGCACACAAACGATCAGCGACTCGCACATGATTCACTGTAAACCAGATGGTATCCAATACAATGCGACAACCACCGGGAGCAGCAACACCACTGTCTGGAACAAATGGCATCGACACAAGCCACATTCGACAAAAAACTACCGATCGCACAACAATTATAGCATGCATGAATCGGCTTACCCAACCGATACAACGATCAATAATTAACACACCTCATCACGGCAAGCGCTATAGCTGCAAGCTGCCAGTCAACAAAA